TTCAGGTATAAGGGATACTCCTAGTTCAGGTATAAGGGATACTCCTAGTTCAGGTATAAGGGATACTCCTAATTCAGTATAAAGGAAGTTTACAATAACTTTAATAACTTTCACTTTTAAAATTTACTTTTTTGAGTTTTACAACTTCATTGATGCCACCATGGCTAACAAGATTATCTCTATTGAATCCATTGTTCTTACCAAATATGCTTAATGCTTAGTTTGTCTCGCATCTCATTCAAGCTAGTCACTCTATCCTGACTCGTCACGTGTTGGCAAGGTGCTGGTGCTGGAAAAAACGATGGGAAACGGGAATTCCAGAATGTCATTCTTTGTGGATGGTAATTTGTGGTCATGACGGGGTTACTTTGGATTTTCAGGTAAGCTTTGTTGGGTAAGCTAAAGTTGGACCAATTCACACCACTGACAGGGATAAGCGCAGGAGTGGGGTTACGAAATTTGGCAAAATTAGTAAACATAGTCACCACCTTGTCACTGACAGCCCTGTCGTTGTCGTCAAACGTCAGCTCACTTGGGTTAGACCTGAGAAGTGGTAGACCAAACATGTACGCTGTTGTATCTCCGTGAACGACGCCCATCCATGGGGGCTTTGAATGGTTTCGGGACCTATGAGCGAACTCAAACAAGTAGGTGGCAGTGCCGTTAGCACTGTGATATGACGATACATCCAATGTCGGTGCAATTACCGTGTAGTCGGACCACATATTCACAAGTTTCCTACGGTACTCACTGGGGTCATTGTTTGCAGGTGTGTATTGAGACTTAAGAGCATTAAATGCAGCACGTGATTGGTTCACTGCACCGCGTCCCAACACTGGGAAAATATTTTCTTAATAAGTTGTGAAACTTGTGTTATCGTTTATTGCTGCGCCTCCTTTTTCCACGATAAAAGATCCCTCTTGGCTCACGAAGCCTGCTATTAGAGGAAACTTAAGGAATTTCCCTTGTTTTCTTAAAATTTTTGGGTTGTCTGGAAGGAAGTGATGGTTAACGAACGGCTTGAGGATCAATGGGTTTGAAATCTTAAAGACAGTGGCGGTTGAAACTGTTTGAAGGCATTGAACAACTAACTGGCTGCTGTTTCTTGTACAGTTGACCATCCTTATCAACTCCTTGCTGGAATGTAAAACTTGAGACTTTGGAGCGTAAGCGAAAGGAGAGAGGTCCACACCACTCACTGCAATACCACGATGAAAGAGTCCTCTGGACTGAGGTGATAAGTAGTGTAGACCTACACTTGATCCTCCTGCGCTTTCACCAAGGACAGTCACGCTGCTTTTTTTGCCACCAAATACGCCGATGTTATCTCGAATCCACTTGAGGGCCTCTACCTGGTCAAGAAGACCCACATTTCCCGGTGCCTCCGAGTCCCCAGTACTAAAGAACCCAAATGGTCCAAGTCGATACTGGACAGTGACAAGAACAACGTCGCGCGTGGGCAAATACTCGCCTGGTGATATATCACGAATAGGGGTACCTGAGATATAGCTTCCTCCGTGTATATAAACAATAACTGGGTATTTTGTTGTACCTCTTGTTCTTGGAGTGTAGATATTCAGGTACAGACAATCTTCGTCCATATCTCTCATTGGSTCAAATGTTGGCCATGCTCTTCTTATTGATGCCAAGGTAACGTTATCCTGCACACACACTGGTCGTAGAAAAGTTGCATTATAATCACTTGATCTTTGAGTGGAAAGAGCTTGCGGGGGCTTGAAGCGAAGATTAAGATTACCAATTGGACTTCTAGCGTACGGAACGCCCAAGAACTTGTAGATGGTCTTCGCTTGCCCTCTATTTGTTTGGATAACTTGTCGCACGCCCCTGACATAGCCCTGTTGGGTTAACACCCGTGTGTCGTTTCTCCCAAGAGCAAGCGAAACAGCATGAAACATGAAAAGAGATAGTAAAATAACTTTAGGTTTTGACAAAACCAACTCCATCCTTGGCCAGTCTTTGAAGAATGACTTTAATCTACTGAATTCAATAGAGTTAAAGATGGTTTCTTTATTAACCAGCTTAATTCAATCTGACGATATGTGGGAAATAATAACGTCAGCATTACTAATATCATTTTTTGATTTATAAGTAATGCATATCAAYTATCTGTACGAATTCGTGAACCTGGTTGGTCGACCTTGGCATATATCTTTTTTACRAAATTTTTGTTCATCACTTCAAACAATTAAGACAAAAAAATCTTGATATGATCCAATATAGGAAAATTGTAGTTTTAGACCAATTATTTTAACAATTGTAGCTACCATATTTGTGTGGTGTGTCGTTTTGTTCAAAAAAATCCTTTCACAAATAAACAATTTTGATGTTTTGAGGGATAGACCGGGATTGAAATAAATTTACTAGTTTCATTCAGTTAATGCAAGCTTCAAAACGAGATGGAAATCAAACTTTCAATAATTAATGTCTCAATCTTTGAAACTTGTTAAGAACGCATGAGCTGGTTTGCATGTAACACTGTCAAGAGCTCTGTCAAGAGCTCGTAACCCTCACTCAAGAGGAAATGTTTTTCAATAATGAGCAATAATGGCAAAAAGCACCAAAAACTAGACTTTCGTATGAGTTTTGACCCCAATTTTCGTTTTGGGTTAACACTCAAAACCTTTTTTAAACAGCTTTTAAACAGTAGCTTTGTCAGGCTTTTTTATAGAAAATATATGGGAAATAAGCAAATGAAGGCCTAAACCTCATTTCCGATTCAAATTTTTGCTTTGGGTTAACACTGTGATTCCACTTTCATCGGTCATCTCCACTTTCAAACGAGTTAAACTTTCTGAATATCAAGATTTTAGCCTTGTACAACAGCCTTTCTTCAAGGAAATAGTTATTGGCGCTCACCGCTTGAATATGAAAAGAATTCTCTATTAACAAAAAACAAAAAAAGCTAAAAAAATGGATTTCAGATCATGTAGACTCTATTTTCTCAGGTCTGGAACTATAACTTTATGTATTTTATTTTATGTTGGGTTTAAACAAACTCGTTAAAAAAACACATGCTCGGAATATAACGGGAAATGGTGGTCGCGTGCTCTGAATTCAAAACAGTTGCGTTTCTCAGTTAGATTTTTATTACCTGATGAGTGAAATAGGCAAAAAATGTAAGCAATTCTATTATAGAGTGCAAACAATTTATGCCTTAAGCACTAATTACTAAATTGTTCAAAATAGTGCTAGTTAAACAAAAGAAAACAATAGAACTATCATATAGTGTAAGTTAGTATTAATAATATTTCACGGAAATACTGTTTGCATTCTAGTCAATTGAGCGGAATTATGGTTGGGAAACCTATAGAGTGTGTGCAACCATGTGACTCAAAATCCATCTTGGTTGATCTAACGAGATAAGCTAATGAGGAATGCTTTGTTATTGCGAACCAAGATGGCGGTAATGAATTAAGAAGTTGAAATAATCGATTTTTTTCATATTTGGTACAAAGATGTAGAATACCATCCCAATAAACGTACTGATGTTCATTTTGAATAATTTCACTTTTATTTTGAGAAAATCGTTAAAATCGATTTTGGCCGTCGGTGCCCCATTTCAGCCTAAATCCGAGGTGAAAATGGTAGGTCTGAGAAAGGCGCTCGCGTTTAAAAATGAAGCAAACTAGAGAAGATCTGTTTTTGGAATATGGTAAAGGAAAGATTAATGATTATTTTAAGCTAAAAAATGAATGGGGAAACGCGTTCTAATAAGCGAACAGGAACGTTTTGTRAACTACATTTTTCGGGTTCTCAAATATTYAAATTTCAYCCTTAGTTTGCAAAGCGCATTTTCATGTGCACCGGRTGTTCGGATTTATCTGAAATTCCAGCCATAATACCTTCGAATGTTCAGCWAAATCATATGTAAAATTCAGCTTGGGTTATTCMATGAGCGCTTTATACGAAACTCTCGAATTCAGAGAAATTTKCGTTGTTTGAGCTCGGCATCCGACGAAACCTTTTCGAGGCAGAYATAAATATATCCTTAATATATTTTCTTGGTKTTCAGTTCTGACATTTGTTTTGATATYATTATTTGTCGATTGAATATTGAGCAATAAWTTGTATTTWTTTGCTCTTTTTCGACATTAGTTTAAAATGCTGTTACTTATTAAAAATTATAATTTGAAACAAGCATGCACACGCGTCGGCACGATCTATATGACACTTATAAACAAGCCCATATAACTTCAGAGTTCTAAAAAGAGTTACATTTATGTCCAGATTTAGGACATTTAGACTAAAAAAACCGGGAGATCCTACCTAAAAGATAAATTGCTTGATTATTGTTCATACCTAGTACTGAATTTCGGCTTCTTTAGTTTTTGCTCGTCGTATACTTAGACAGTAATGCTATGTTGGTAATCAGACCTACCATTTTCACCTCGGATTTAGGCTGAAATGAGGGCACCGACGGC